ATAATTCCAATAGTAGAAGGTTCTTTTGCCAATACAGGTTTTCTGATCGCTAAATCAAAAAGCTTGAAAATTTATACAAGTAATGATAGTTCGTTAAATGATCTTGATTTTAATTCTTTTCTCTAAAATGTTAACAAAGGTGAATAAAAATTTCATTATTAATTAATTGTAAATTACTATCCATTAATTATTACTAACAATTAATTAAACTTTAGTAAAGCAATGAATGACCAATTCATCTCCACCATAAATTTATTACCTTCTTTTTAATTTATCTTTTTATTTATCTTTTTATTTTATTCTTGTAATAAATAATATTTCCTATAATAAACTTTTTACAATTTTTTGATTCTCGTTAAATGGTGATATCATTTTGGTTAATTAACAATTATGGTCCAACTTTTGGGCTATCTTGCCAATTAATTAGTTTACGAATTTACATTGGTTTTCAATTACGAATCTGTGAGCACACTTAATGGTACCAGACAACTGTAATTAACAAAGATGGCCCCTTTGCAATGCTATAAAGTTCCTTTATTCACTTTATTTCAGCCGTTTACCTTGCAAACTTGTTTTGGTTTACTTGGAAAACAACTCAAGTAGCTTGTTTAACAGCTTTACATTCATTGACACCCACCAATTAACCAACAACGTTATTCCTAGCCTTGCTTACTCACTAAAGCAAATAAACGTTTATCAAAACGCTTTAAACAGAGAAAATAAAGACAATGTTTTTATTTTTATTTTTATTGACGATTAATTTTATTTGATAAAATAATGATTCTATCACAGAGTTAGCTATTATTTTCCTTTGCGAGGACCAGAAGTTATGCTTTTTCAAGAAAAGACCACAAGTTATCCTTGATGAAATAGCGACAAGGATAAAGATAAATATGGGATTATTATTGCAAAGTAACTTAATCAATCATTTTATATAATTTTTTGCACAGTATTTGATAATTAGTTTGACCCTGGAACATAAAGTACCGAATCCCTAATCAATGATTTATCTACCCCGATCATGTGTCACGTTATAAATGAGTGTGTGGGAACTGAATTTGTATTCAGCAAAAGAAAAACTTGGCTCCTCGGAAACAACTGATGAAATAAAAAGGAGCTTGGAATATATATTTACAAGCTTTTTTTTGTGGGCTTTTACAACTTTTGGGTAAACAACATTATGTTGCGCCTGTTGAAAGAGGCATCTCAACAATGCGATTATCATATTTATTGCTTTCTATTTGTTATCGTTATTAATGTTAATATTAACAATACAGTAAACCCTCATTTCAATTGAATTCATTAACTTCACGTTATAACATAAAATTCGTTGAAACGAGACTAGCAAACAGGAATTATATGATATAAAAAAATTAGGAACCCGTTTGACTTGATATTTGTTCGGAGCCTTAAGTCTATACCTTCGACCACAGCCCATTCATTTACGTATATGAATCTGGGTGATCATCTGGATATCTTGCTAGTAAATGGCAATTATTACAAATTAGACAAATTCTCGTAACAGAAATCATAGAAAGTCGATACAAATATTGGAAACCTGACCAAAATGGATAAATGGATGTTTTCCTCTGAAGATTGTAAATTCCGTAGACTTAAATTTTTTTTTGTTTGCTTCCAATTCAACCTTTAAAAGAGACTTTTTTCAGCAGATTAATAAACAGATTAGGAAACAAAAATCAATATATGAAAAGGATATTTTTCTTGAAATTGCTATTGTTCATCGATCAGAAAACCTGTATTGGCAAAAGAACCTTCTACTATTGGAATTATAATATACCTCTTTCTCGAAAACCCATCTTAGCTGGACGTATTTATTTTGAAATCACATGATAAAGAATGGTATTATATCAAGGGTACAAGCTTATGCATGCAGCCCAAATTTTTATCAAAATTAATTCACTGTTAAATTGAGTCCGAATAATTTCGGATATAATTCGGCTGCTATTAAATTATTATTATATGAAAAACCAATTTCGGATCGGCAATGATCATTTTGGTTAATGCCTGATTAGCACTTACCATAACTTATTTGATGTTTTAGGCACCCCTTTTTTCTCATCGCCAAGTATGAATATAGCATACAATATAAATGCTGATCGCACACATTTTGCCATGCCAAAATTTGTGAAAGTTAAAGCGCGAATTGCGACCCTGAAGATTCATTCAATCAAACATACATCACGAGGGAGAGGCATTAAACATATTAATATGGTGGGGGTTTTTTTTAAAGCAATATTTAAGGGGGGATTTTTTTAAATATGTATATTTATTGTATTTATTTTAATTAATTCAAAAAATTTTTTATTTTAAAAAAAATTTTTGATGTGTTGATAATCATAATAATTATTATATGGAAGGTTTCTAGCAAAATCCGAACTGGAGACCCCCTGACTGAAATTGAGATATTAATTTACAACGTGAGGATTATAATCGGAGAGAATGTTATTATATATTAATATACCATATTTGCTTAATAAAAAATGAGTGAGATACAAGGCTTAAGATATTTTCCATTATAATTAAAAGCATATGTGTAACAAATTTTTCAGGGGTTGATTTCTCAAAATAATTTTATAATCCGCGTGGATGAGTGAATATGTATATAATAATGATGAATGAATGAAAAATTGATATTATATTATATTGATTTATTTTCTAAACATAATAAAATTTCGTGTAATTCGTGTTAATTCATGAATTTTCTCAAACATTTTTTTGATCAATTTTAATATTAAACACACAACAATAAAGTACAAATACATCACTTTACTCATTTTATTGCATTAATATTTATTTGGTCATTTCCTTATTACAAGAAATTTCGATGTCTTTTCTCAGAATGAATGAACAAATATATATATTATAATTCCTATTATATAATAACAATAAATAGGAGATATAAAGTTTAATGACCCTGATGGCCGACCAGACGGATTATAAAAATAAACCAGTACAAAATCTTGTTTAATACTTGGTCACGTGATAAATGAAGGGTAGTTTTCTGTCAAACACATCAATCAAATTTAATTAACGTGTGGATAAGTGAAAAAGAATGAATTGATTGTTGTACCTTTGGATTATTAATATATTAACTAATATTAAAGATTTTCTATTTTTTACAAAGTGTCCTCTCCTTATAACAATATTTTTTTTTGTTTACAAAATATGCGATGCTATTAATTAATCGAATAACGAATCAGTTATCATCTTTATTTGAAAAAGTAAAAATAAACAAAATTTTGAAACTCGACTAATTAGTGTTACGGTAAATTCCTCCTTTTGATGATCGGCAAGCTAGAGTTTAAGTAATACCACCCCTATTTTATTATTATTGTTATTATTATTTATTAATACCCCTTCTTTTCTTACTCCATATTAATATTTATTTATTTTTTTTTGGTACCCGAATATCTTATACAATAAAAAAACTTAAAAAGAGCTTAGAATATATATTTTTTTTTTTTTTTTTCAAAAATCCACAAGTTTTGTGTATGTGTAGTTAGAGAAAGATAATTTATTATTATTATCTTCTTTACATTATTATTACATTCATAAGAAATATTTACATATTTTTGTTTCTTCCTGAAATCAGCGATTGGAAGAAGAAAAAATATTAACAACTTCAGGTAAACTAATTTTCAACATTTTTTATTTTTATTTTTATTTTTATTATATATTTTATTATTATTACTTTTCTCGATCTATAAAAAAAACATAACCTTTAAATCTTTTTTTTTTTTTATCAAAACCTTTCACCCTCCCTTTTCTAAAGTTGATTTTTAGACACACCTCGAACAGCTTTTTTCCCAGTTTATTTCACCTTCCATAGTGCAGTTCTTCCTACCGTTTCATTCCTTTCTCCACCATTATTCTTCCTCCTTCATTTAAAATCCTCTTTACTACTTCTCATTTCCCGTTTACTCCTTTACTCATTAATTATTGGCATATTTTTACCCAACTTTCTTCACATTCTTTTTTTCTTGATTTATTTCTTACTCTAAGGAATTCATTATTTTTTATTCATTCAACTTTAAATGATTTATTTTATGCCTCATATAACGAAATCAAAAAGTTCAACAAATTCCATTTAAAAAAACCCCCAATTTAAAAATAAATTACGACATAGAAACGAATTATTTTTACACAACAAAAAAATTTTTTAAAAAATTAAAATCAAATATATAATAAAATATGGTCGATTCAACGAATCAACAAGTCATTAATAATTATGTAAGTGTGTGATCCAAAAAAAATTTTTTTTAATTGTATATGTTTCAAAATATTAACTAACCTTCTTTCTTATCATCGTCTTCTTCTTCTTTATTAAAAGCAATTGGGTGACTGCCTTGGAAAAGGTGCGTTTGGCTCAGTTTACAGAGCATTAAACTGGGAAACGGGCGAAGCCGTTGCTGTTAAAAAAATAAAACTTAGTAATATACCTAAATCAGATCTAAATTTTATCATGGTTAGTTGATTTGATTAAATCAGTAGTGGTTTTTTTTTTGTGGTTTTTTTTTTTATTTAATTTTTAATTTTATTTTATTTTTATTAATTTATTAATAGACTGAAATAGATTTATTAAAAAATCTAAATGTAAGTATAATATATTTAAATTTTTAATTATTATTTAATCAATGATTGATAGATTGATCAATAATAATCAATGTCACGAATTTATTTATTTATTTTTTTAGCATCCAAACATTGTAAAATATAAAGGATTTGTTAAAACAAGGGAGTTTCTATTTATAATTTTAGAGTAAGTTTAATCATTTTGTTATTGGTGGTGTAAATATTATATATAACCTTGCTTTAGTCAAGTTTAACTTATTTCTCCCATTTTTCATTTTAAATCTTTTATCTTTTATCTTACAATATATTAATCCTGCATTTATTTAATTGATCCTTCATATCCAGGTACTGTGAAAATGGCTCATTACACAATATTTGTAAAAAATTTGGTAAATTTCCTGAAAACCTTGTAGCAGTATATATAAGCCAAGTGCTAGAAGGATTATTATACCTACATGAACAAGGTGTAATACATCGTGATATCAAGGGTGCAAACATATTAACCACAAAAGAAGGTTTAGTAAAACTGGCTGATTTTGGTGTGGCAACTAAAACAACAACATTAGGCGATTTTGGTGTTGTTGGCTCTCCGTATTGGATGGCTCCAGAAATTATTGAATTATCAGGTGCAACCACATCATCGGATATTTGGAGCGTGGGATGTGTCGTGATTGAACTGTTGGAAGGCAAACCACCATATCATCATCTTGATCCGATGCCTGCACTTTTTCGAATAGTGCAAGATGAACATCCTCCATTGCCCGAGAGTGCATCTCCGGCTGTAAAAGATTTTTTAATGCAGTGTTTCCATAAAGATAGTAATTTACGTGTTTCGGCAAGAAAATTGTTAAAACATCCTTGGATAGCAAACACTAGGAAAAATAATGTAGTTATTATTAGCACTATTTCTAATAACACTGGTGGCAATAGTAGTAATATTAATGCTAGTGGTGGTAGTAGTAGTAGTAATAATAATAATGATAGTAATAGTGGTGGTGGTGGTGGTGGCGGCGATGTAAATCGAAATGATGATGCTAATTCTAATATTAACAATAAGGAAAATATCAACGATAATAATAACATTATCAACAACAATATCAATAATAACAAGAACAACAACAACAATGATAACAACAACAATGACAATGTACCGCGTCCTGTAATATCAACAGAATACGAAGAAACAATAAAAAGTGTACAAGAGTGGAACAAAGCATTAAAAGCTTCAAAATCTAATATTAAATTACCACCAGCTTTTAATAGGCGAAGGAAAAGTGAACAAATTAAGTTACAATTGTTATCATTACCATCACCGTTATCGCCAAAATCAGAACTTCCTCAAAGATCTTCCACTGATCCGTCATCATCATCATCAACAAATTTTGCACCATCACCATCACCCTTACAATCTCCATCGACATCTTCACCAGTATCACCACTATCTGCTAGCGATAATGCTAATAGAAAGAAATCAATTGATCAAGTATCAATAGTTGATAATAATTGGGACAATTTTGTTGATTTAGGTTCAAAAAATTTAACGGTAGTTAGTACAAACAATGCACAAAATAATAGATTATCAATGGTCGATTTGCAACCTGATAGCGAAGATGATAATTGGGATGATGATTTCGATGACTCGATAACTATCACAAAAATCGCTGCTCATCAAAATAAACAATTAAATAATAAAAAAGCCAAAAAAAATAATAATATTGGTGGCGATGATGATACCAAAATGTCAAGTCCTAAAAAACATTCGAAAGGTAAAGAACCTATGGAATCATCTCAAATCAATGGTGAAACTAATATTAATAATACAAATGGTCTTGTTGACAATGCTATCAATAATAATAATAAAAACAAGAATCTTGGAATTTTAAAAACACTTTTTAAATCTCAAGAAAAACAAAATACCAATAACAATAATTCTAAAACACCTACAACTGCAGCAACAACAGTAACTAATAATGATAGCTCTAGTTGGGAGCATATCCAAGATACTGTTATACATTTATCACAACAAAATACATTAACTAAAAAAATCAAAAAAATTACTTCAAAAGGCTCATTAAAATCATCTGCATCATTTGAACCACCGTCACCATCACCATCACCATCACTGACTTCGTCACCATTATTACAACAACAAAAAAGATCTAAACCATTACAAATAATAAGACCCACATCATTATCAGCACAGCAACAACAGAAACAACCAATAAAACCAATCTATTCAACTTCTTTAACAGAAAATCACATCACAATCTTTTCATCATCCCCAAACAATACCACCAATGCAAGACCTAAATCTCCTTATCCTCCAAATCTATTTAAACAACATCGTCGTAGGGTCAGTGATTTAGAAGCCAACAAACGACCATTTTCTTATATCAATGGTCTACAAAATTCTACATCATTATCATCTGCATCGTCATTACCAGATGATAAACCCTTACCACCATTACCACGCTATAGTAAATCTCCTAATTCTGCTGGCTTAGGATTGTTTGATTTGTCATCCACACAATCATCAGATCATAAAAATCAGTCACCGTCATCATCATCATTTACAAAAGAAATAACGAAACAGTCGAAATCGTCACATAGATCATTATCAAGCCGGGTTTCAGCTCCTGTCCTACCAAGCATTGAGATACCTGATTCTTATTATGATAAAGTTCTGTCTACAAGTGCAACAAGTAATATGAGTAACGCATCACCAATCTCGCCACTTCGTGATACACCAAGTCCAAATGAATTCCAAATTTATCAAGATGATGATGATGACGATGATTATGATAATGTATTTCGTGATGAGGAAAATGATGGCACGATTTGTGTTGCTAGTTCTAGCAGTGCTGTTGTCAATAGTGCAGCTGGTGGTGATAAACAATCATTAATGATTAAATCAAGACCTACTAACAATAGTTGGCTCGCCGAGGATATAAGTGACGAAGATGATCCATTTGCAGAGATTGAGGAGAAATTTGACGAGATGGACATGGAAGCTTATATAGCTAGAGACAAATATGCTCATGCGTGTTCAAGGCTAGAAGAACTTATTAACGCGCTACTGCCTAATGAGAGCGAAGAGAGATTATTGATCACATGTGGTTTATTGATTGATCTTTTGCACGAACATAAACAACTTAAAAGTCATTTCATCATTTTTCATGGCGTGATACCGATCATTGAAATATTGGAAATATGTGTCTACTCAAGTGTATTGACCAAGCTACTGAGAATAATTAACATCATCATCGAGGATAATATTAACCTGCAAGAAAATTTATGTCTGGTGGGTGGTATACCTGTGATAATGAATTTCACCTTGAAACGATACTCATATGATATCAGATTGGAGGCCGCAACTTTTATAAAACACATATGTCACACCTCACCCATTGTACTGCAAATGTTTGTTTCGTGTAGAGGATTGAAAGTTTTGGTGGAATTTCTACAAGAGGATTACAATGACCGCAAGGAATTGGTTTGGATAGCTGTTAATGGAATCTGCAGCGTTTTTGAACTTCAGAGTCCAACTCCAAAAAATGATTTTTGTCGTCTATTGGCAAAAAATGGATTGTTAGATCCGTTGGCAAACACGCTTCACGATGTTATAAAGGACGAAGATGAAAAGGCCTTCATTTATATTAACAAGATAATCAATATATTTTTACAATTCTCACAAGCTGACACCTATGTAACTGAAGTGATGGCAACCAAAACTAAGGTGATATCAAGAATTTTTGAAGAGTTGGATGAATTGCCAGCAAACATGGTTGTCTCGTTGCTTAAATGTATAAAAAATATGTCAATGAACTCTAACACTCTGGATGCATTACAAAAAGCAGGAGCTATTCAAGTATTGACCGCAGTGTTGGATAAACAAAGTCCACCATACATCACCGAAATCTCGAATCAAGTTCTCAACACAATGTTTAATCTATGTCGTATAAACAAGTCAAGACAAGAGGAAGCGGCGAAAGCCGGGGTCATACCACATTTGCAATATTTCGCGTCTAATAAAACGCCACTAAAGCAATTTTCTTTGCCTATATTATGTGATATGGTACACACAGGCGAATTGTGTCGTGATTTGTTGTGGAAACATGATGGCTTGCAGTTCTATTTAGAATTATTGATTGATCCCTATTGGCAAGTAAATGCTTTGGAAGCAATACTTGCTTGGCTACAAGAGGAATGTGAAATGGCTCAGCCTAAATTTTTCAAACGCCTATTACAACGTTTGTCACATCCAAAAGCTGTTGTCAGGCTCAACTTGTTACGTATATTAAAAACCGTTTGTGATTCGCATCCACAACGTGAAGATGTTATAGCCAAATATGAATTGTTTGACGTTATTGATAAAATGAGCAAGAATGACCAGGCGGTTTTGATCAGAGAGTTGGCCAAAGATATACTTATGCAGGGTTATTTTATTCCAAAGCATCAGGAACCTATTACACCTACTTCATCACAATTTCCAAACAACAACAGTAACAATAACGACAACAACAACAATAAGAATAATGATATTAAAAAAGATATTAAAAAAGATAGTAGTATTAAAGATCCTTTTAGTCTTGGTATATCATTATCGTCATTGCCTGTTAGCAATCCGCCAGCAACATCTTTATCGAAAGACGTTATATCTGAGGAGGAAGAATATGCTACTAGTTTTTATACCAATAGTCATGTACCGTTTACATCATTCAAAGATAATTTGGTTAACAATTCTGCTTTGCCTGTTGAAGGGTACGGCGTGAATCTGAGTTGACTATCAGCGGTTCAAGTTGAAGATAAAAGTCCTTCACAAAACATTAAAAATAATAACAATAATACTAATGAAGAAAATGACAATGCTACTGATAATAACAAAAATAACAACGAAAATCAATCAACATTAAAAAATTTACCTCAACAAAGAAATCAAACTCAAATACAACAAATACAAATAAAAAGACGTAAACGTGCTTTATCATCGCCAATCACATCTCATTTATCGACAATATCAGAACAAGAAACAGTAAAACCTAAAAGACCTTTATCGACTCCATTTGAATTATCATTGGATCAAGTGATTGAACAAGGAGGAGACAAGTATTCACCGCCGTCATCATCACCATTAACAACGTCACCACCAATGTCTATATATAATTATTATTATAAACAACAACCATCATCTTCATCGTCATCATCATTAAAAAACGCTTCAAGGAAAACTTCTTCGACTTCTATTTCCTCAACTCCAATAATACCTAATAGTAATTATAGACAACAACAGCAACAATTGCCTTCTCAAAAGAAAAGACCAGTTTCTTTTGTTTCACATCCACCAAATGGCAATGATTCAATTAAACTTCCTCGTTCAATCTCATTAAAAAATCGTAAAAATTCTCATCAACAAAAAATTTTATCATCAGCATCATCTACACATTCGTCGATTAACAACAACGAACAACATTTATCAACAATAAGATCAAGTGTATCAGCTACTTCTACCGACACAAATACTTCTACCAACTATTACAACTACAATAATGATTCAGGAGCCGTCTCACTTTTCCCATATGATCATATTCGTAAAAGAGAAAGTTCACGAAAAATTAAAGGTATAGCTTATAACAGATCATATAATAGACAAGCTATGAATGAAGAGGAGGAAACAGAATCTGTAGCACCATCAATTAATTCAATTGGTTCAACAAATATTGAAACAGAAGGTGGCGTTATAGCAATGAAATTTGGAACAAATTCTTCTAGTGCTACTACTGCTACTAATGCAAGTATGAAAGGAACAAAAAATGAACACATGGATCGTCATCATCATTTACAATCTTCAATGTTTGTATGGTTGAAAAAAAGAATGATGGGAGGTGGGAATAGTAAGATTAAGAAAGGTAATCATAACAGTGGTGGTAATAGTAATATTGGTGGCAGTAATAATAATCGAAATGATGATATTGGTCGCAATAACGAGAATAGTACTAATCAGAGAGAAAATAGGAATTGATGATTGCGTTATAAGTCGATAATTTATATATATATACCACATTGATTGATTTATTTGAACAATTTTCTTCAACTTGAACCATACTTTGAATTATTTTCAATTTTTTAATTTTTTAATTTTATTTAATGAACAATGGTTACCAAAAAGTACATTATTAATTATTAACATTAATAGTATTTTAATAAAACAATTAATAATAGTAATAGCAATAATAATAATAATAGCAGCAATTAGTAATATTAATAATAATTTTAATAAATAATGTAATTTATTGTCTTTTAATCAAATATTTGCATATATGCGAATTATTATTTTGTAAATTTTTTATTCTCTTTTATTTCATTTATGACATATATAATATGTAATATATAATAAAAACTGATTTATATATATGTATGTATGTATATGTATATATGATGATAAATAAAAAAGTTCATCCTTGAAGAATAAAATATATGAGAATGCATAATATTAGTCCCGAACGTCATACACGTCACGGGCGTCAAATTCAGTCATTGTTTTTTATAGCAGCAGTCAATTTATTTTAACATATATGAATAGGAATGAAGATTTTATCGTAAAACTTCATACCTAAGTACACACCTCATTCTACATTGCATTCTGCCCATTACACCAAAGTGAAAGAGAGGTCCCTGAGGTACAGGACAAGGTTGGGTGACGAAAATATTTTGGGGTGCAAAAGGTATTTCGTCAAATGGGCACATGTGACGAAACGTGACGAAAGGGTAAAGTCAAGTGTCAAAATTATGAAGATGACAAAAGTATAAAATTCAATTTTATTTAGATTTAATTAAAACAAAAATTTAATTTTAAACATTTTTTCTACATCGTAAATCATGTTTCTTGGTTGAATATTTAATTTTTGTACGTAAAGTTTAGTAGGAATTGCTGCTTCACATCAATTGCTAGTTTCATAACTTTTTTCAAAATCTGTAGAATCATCCGATAATTCCGATTGTTGAAATGGTTCTTCATTTACTATTTAATGAAGTGTAACTATACATCATACACAGGACATCCTGTAGCCAATTGTTAAACGAACTTTCAGATATTTTAATGTTGCAAATTCATATATTATATGGTGAATTAGAATTTGGCATCAATGAATTTTAATTTTTCATAATTTAAAATCTACAAAATAATTGGTTTATTTTATTGTGTCGTTGATTTCGTCACCCAACCTTGGTACAGGAGTTGGTAAAAGATCATATGTCTTCAATAATGACCCATGGACTTGGGTTAATAATAACAATAGTAAAAGTCGAATTTTTGTCAGTTCCCAAAGAATAGGTAATACTAACAAATGCTTTGGGTCCGAGTATTTTTCCTGCTCTGGCAATTTTTAACTTGTATTTTTATAAATTATAAAATAATTTTCTTATCTTTCCGTATTAATAAATTCCCACTAATTTATCATTTGCACAAAATTTTTTTAAAAATTATTTTAATTTTCAAATCTTAAAAATGACAACGACTGAAACAATTCAACAAGAATTAAATAAAGCAAGAATAGATTATGAGAAGGCAGTGGAGAACTTAGAGGAGTGTGAGAAGGGGAAATGTAAAGGGAAAAATTTGGATAAGTTATAGGAAGTGTTGATGGAGGGGAACTTGAGTGAAGACAAGAGGGAGAGGTGGGAGAATGGAGAGATAGACTGTTGAAAGGAAAGTAATTGTTGGAAGAGTCGAAGAAGAAATGGGAAGAGCAAGTGATATTCTTACAAAAGTAATTAACTAAATTTAATGAAGAAAAAAGGCAATGAACAAATTACAAATTGCTAAAAAAAATATGCGAAAAATTATTTTCCATTCATTCCATTTTGTTTGTTTATTTATTTGGCATATTGTTTATAACATTAACTGACTTGTGCTTTTTTTTCTCTTCATATTATCAAATGTTATTGTTTATTTCAAAGATTTTAAACGGTCGCCCTTTGACTCTGGTCAACAATGCATGAAAAAACGGAGAATTGTGAAAAACTGAAGGTCCAATGAATTATACGGAAAATTTTATTGTCCCGTTTGAGATACTTCATTCCTATCATGAACTTGTAGGAGCTATAGAATCACATGCATATGCACCCTTTGTGAGTCAAGAAAGTCATCGACTTTACATTACCTAGAAAATTAGGATGTTAGCCGTTTAAAAAAATCCTTAGCCGGCTAAACCGTTTACTACCTAAATTGGTATCTTGTTTCTATAACCAGAAGGTAACACGTAAATCCGTTACCAAATCTAGAATTTATGCATGCAGATTATTAACCGGCTAACATCACAAATGAAAATAAAGAAAATCACATCTACATACATTCTTCTTTGACACATGGAACAATCATTTCACAGAATTCATTCATAATCATACACAGAAAAAATATCAGCAGTCAATCATATTACACATGAAAATCAAGATTCAAATAACAATTTAATCAATGATGCAAAAAAACTTTTGGGGTGCTTCTTGCAAGCTGGAACCCTGCAATTTTCTGAAATCACTGAAGAAGAATTGGTTGCTATGACACATCTTTGTGCAATAGGAATCATAAAAGAAAGGAAAAGTCAGTTAGAGTTCACATCCAATATTAGTTTTGATCTGTTATCAAGTAGATATTATCCTTTCTATGTAGGTATTCACTGATTCAATATTTTAGCACACTTCAGGATTTTTTGATGAAAGAAAAAAAAACCTATTTACAACAACAAAAGGTATTTAGTTTATTTGTGATTATAATTATTTTTTTGAATTGAGTTAATAACAATAGTTGTATCAGTAATGATGATAGTAGTAGATATGATAATTATGGAAGTAATAATAACCCAGTAATAATAATAGAGCCAGAAATAATATAGACATTTTGTTTTGTTGAATCTAATAGCAAATGAAATAAGACTAAAAATTTTGTAATACTTGTTTTAAAATGATAAGTTATAATAAATGATGTAAATATATATAAACCTTGTTATAAGTAAAACATGATTTATATGTCCCATAGAATATATCCTAAATTAAATTAATTAATTATTCTATAGACTTCATAATCTTCTAACAAATGAACACTTCTATTTCCATTAAATTATTTCTATAAGAATCAACAGAAAAATTAGAATAAAAAGAATAATTGGAGCATGCTGCAACAAAACCAGACAAAGTGAACATTGATATTATCAAAGATTTCAAGGATCAAAATTTAGTAATGTGATTATTAAAATCTTCCATTTGTTATCCTCTTAATATTAGGTGATATATAGAATTACCCTATATAAAAATAGTTAATATGAAGTTAATTTACATTAGATCTACCATGGAACCTAAGAATTATAGTACTATCAAAAGTATTTTGAAGAAAGAACAAGGTGAAAAATTGCACCTTATATTTTCAAAATAAATGATACTCGGGCATTTGAAACTTATCTAAGGAAAGAAAAGATTACTTATGAAATTTACCAAGAGGAAAGAAAAATAATAAACATTAAGAAAAGAAAACAGAATGGAGATATACTATTACCCAACAAAAAGCAGAAATCCTTAGAAGAAAAATAATCTTATTATTACAATATTGATTTTTTTTTTTTACTGAAGAAAATTCACCTTTATGCAAATGTAATTAATGATCATCTTATTGCATTGCTTATCAATTATTTGAGTTGTTTCAATGAATTCTATGTTTAGGGGTGTTTTATAAAACATCACCAATTCACTTAGCTTTTGGGTAAAAAAATCAAATAACAAATGTTTCAATAAATATTTTCATCCATAATAACATTTTAAAAAAGGCTTACTTTTAATAGTGAACTTTTTTGTGGATTGTTGATTGGACTCTTGCTTTGTTTTTTACTTCACTATAAAACTTACAAAAATTAACTCTCTATTATAAATCAAAAAAGTTGATCAAATAATTGATAAAATGGAACCAAGAAAAGTCAATTCAAAAATAAAATAAACCAACTTTACTGATGATAAAAAAATATTCACAAGTAATCAAAAATCTACAGAAAGATTAAGGATTTCTAACAATTATTTGACAAAAAGACTAAACTAAATCCAAATTTTTCATTCAGAAAATAGCTATTGAAATTCGTGAATTACTTTCAGGGGGAAAGGGTGTTGCTGCTTCCACAATAAAAAACTTCTACCAATGAAAAACAAATCCTAGAAGAAAAACAGATAGAAGCAATTCAACAGTGGGTTAACAAAGAAAGGAAGAAAGAGATGGAGAATGAAGTCAAAGAAGATAATAAAAACAATAAAGATATAAATATTAGTAATAATATTATTGATAATAGTAATAGCATTAGTAATAGTAAAAGTTGTATTCTTCCCCAAGAATGCAAAAATAAATATTTATACTGATAGTCAAACAACAATTAATACATATACATATCTTACACATAATGAAATGAAAAGTATAACAAAAAGAAATTTCCTAAAAATTAAAAACAATTCTTTTTGGGATGTCATCCTTTTAACAATCAATCGTTTTAATTTAAAGGTTAAATTAATTAAAGTAAAGCACATTCAGAAAAAAAATGGAATGAAAAGGCAGGTAAATTAGCTAAAATAGGAACAAACAAGTTTCCAATATCCATTAAATTTGATAATTTTAGTTATCAAAAGTATAAACTTATGTGGAACAATTTACCAGTAGATTATCACACAAGATCTTTTATTAAGAAAACAACTGATGCATTCAACTATCAAAATTGGAAAAATTTAAAAAGAAGCAAAAATTTTAATAATGAACAATATGAATCTATTGACTAGCAGAGTACTTTTGCTGCATTAAGGGGTCATATCAAAAAACTTTCCTTGTCTAACTTCCTTCAAATTAAACAATCAAAAAGCATTTAGAGTAAAAATCTTTCAAAATGAACTCCCAATCATGGAAAATCTAAAAAAAAGACAACCAGATTTATATTCTTCAAGACATATGTGTAAAAGATGTGAAAGATCTCCAGAAATATTATCACATCTTTGGAATTGTGAAGAAGTATATGACATCATTAAAATAATTAGTATCACAATCACTAACTATTTCAAAAAGAAATTAATTAAATATCTTTCTGAAATATGGTGTTCAATACTGTATAAAATATTTTAAAACAATCAAACAATTAGAAGATGTTAATTAACACATATATATAGAAATCATCAAAGATAAAAAATTTATCTTACCTGATAAAATATATACATGGGATAATAAAGGTTCACTTGATGATTTACTAAGTGGATATATAACTTTAGATTTAATACAGCAATTATATAAAATTACAAGATCTAACTCAAAAGCTAGAAAACTAGCAATATCTTTAGCAAACATTGTTAATAAAGAACTATTTGAAAAAAATCTGGATTGAATGGTGTAAAATACAAAATAACTGGGAAAAAGAATATGGTGTTTCAATGAAAAATAAATTTAATACTAAAGGAAATAAAAGAATTAAAAGAAATACAAAAAAAAAAAATAATATTGTTAACAGCAATGAAAATAATGTTAACAATAATAACACAAATTTAGTACCAGATTGGATTCTAGTGATAACAAATCATATTAGATTTGGAAAAAATAAACTAGATTTTATTTTTGTTCGTGATACTCCACTGATATCTTTTAACTCAAAGACATAAAGTGTTAATCTTAATTGTGTGATTATTGAATCACCTGCTTTATGTAGGGCTTACAGTGGTAATGTCGCATTCTTCTATTTCAATGTAAAATAGAGAGTGAGTTAAGTAGGTTGTAGATTAATTTTGTAACATTTAACAATATGTATGATGTTCCTATTATTAATAAAATTACTTAACATGACTATACATGCAGCCCAAAGTATTTTGACACTATCATAAAGGGGTTACACATGTAGTAAAGGGGTGTTACACATGTTTTTAATAGTGAGTGCCATAATTAATTTCTACTTTCTACCATCAAAATTGGAATAATTTTGACCATTGAAATCACCAAACCAATTTGGGCTGCATGTATAAACATGACAAAAAAAAAAAAGTAAAAGTTGTATTTTTGTTAGAGTGTCTAAAGAATAGGTAATACTTATAAATGGCTTTGAGTTCGAGTATTTTCCTCCCATGCAAGTACTCTGACAGTTATTTAACTTATCAGTCAAATGATATGTCACAGGAAGTATAATTACATATAGGTGGCTAATTTTTTAATAGAATTTCGACAGAAAATTTCGGAAAATACACTTCCCAATCATTAATATTAAAATGATTTTTTTTTGTTGTAAAAATTACAAGTCATGTGCCCACTAATTTATCATTGGTCGATATCATGCATAAATTATAACAATTATGATTTAAATCAATAAAAAAAAAATTTAATTTTAAAATAAAAAATGACAGCAAAAGAGGAAAAAATTAAAACTGAATCAAACAAGCAGAGGCAAGATTAGAAGAGGCAATGAATAATTTAAAAGAATTTATGAAGGAGGAGAATTTGGAGAAGTTTGAGAAAAGATTGGGAATGGAAAAGCTGAAAGAAGAAAAAAAAAGATTGGAGAAAGAGAAGGTGAAGTGGGGAGATGAGGTTCTGGAGTGGAGTAGGAAGCTTCGGGAGGTAGAAGAAAAAAGTAATGAACAAATTGCATAAAAAAAAATATACAAAAATTATTTTTCATACATTCAATTTCGTTTATTTATTTATTTGTCTGTGGAATATTTGAACTACTATTTACAATTATAACTAACTTGTCATCTGTTTGATTCTTCATTTATCTTTTTTATATCATTTATTTCTTCACATTTATCCACCATAAATATACAATCTTTATCCATCTCCCAAATTTTTAATCAACATTGTTTTCCTGTTTGTCCTGAATTCATACATTAAATGATCAGGTAAGAATAATTTTTATGACAAATATTTATACTTGGGAAACAAGAACTGACACATGATTCTACATTTCCCTGCTTCCACAACATTACCAGAAGATTATGTCTTTCAATATTGCAGTGATTCATTTTTTTCACATATTCCAACAATTGTTGAAAACAACAACTGGCTTGAATTTGCCTACCCTATTCCCTTGACACAACATCAAAAGCTTTACATTCGTTCCAGCTACAAAGTCATTGCTAAGAATGCTTTATTAAAGGCTAACCCAAATCATTGCAAGTATTCCATTATCAGCGGAACCCCTGGAATTGGAAAATTTATGTTTCTCTTTTATATCCTTTGGCAATTGGTGAAGGAAGGAAAGTATGTGTTATTTGTTACCAGAGAACCTGCTATATACTTTGATGGAAATTCAACATTTGAATATCCTCAATATCCTTTGTCTTCAGATCATCAATTCTGGACATTTGACTTATGGTGCCTTGTTGATTCAAAAGATCCAACTAACATTCCTGGATTTCCTGTTGACGCCTGTTCTGTCATTTTGTCAACTACCCCTCGAAGTGATTTTATTAGTAGATTCAGCAAGTTGGTTCCAGCTCCTCCTATCTTTTATATGCCTTTATGGACTAGGGAATAATTGGAAGTTGTTACACCCTTTACTCAAATGTAGCTAATATTTGGATGAATCACTTTGAACTTTAGGTGGTGTTCCTCGTCTTGTGCTGGAACAAACTGAACAAGATCCAACATCAATTCTGATTTCAGCTTGTAAACAATGTGAACTGGAGGACTGTATCAAGTTGGTTTCAATTCATTCTGAAATCACACCCAAAGCAAAGATTATTCAAACACTTGTTCATCTTAAGTCAAGCCCACCTTATAAAGATGCCACAGTGATATATGCCTCAGAAACTGCAATGAAGACTATTGCTCATACTAAATGGACTTATGAAAGTCTAAAGATGCAGTCTTCTTGGTTCTTGCACTGGAAATCCTCTTGCTGCAGCCCTTTGTGGATACATCTTTGAACCCCATGCCATTGATTTATTGGAACAAGGTGGTACCTTCCAATGTCAAGAACTTGTCTCTGGTAGGAAAAGTCTCAAGTCTGGTTCCTTTGACCTCAAGATTCCAAAATCAAAGACTCCCTCCACAAGTTGTTGATTGTGTTGAAGAAAACCAAACTCACAATCAATTGTACATTCTAATGATGCCGTCTGTAAATCAGATTTACAGAAGTTGTATCTAGCAACCGAGTTGTCATACTATTTGCAACCAAGTGCCAAAATCTGTAATTCTCTGTAATATGTAAATGTATCTGTAATTCTGTAATTCTGTAATTCTGTAATTCTGCAAATCTTATATATATATAATAATAAATAAACTTTCGTGTAACAATTTTTTTTATAATGAACAAGAGACCAAGAAAAGAACCAAGCAATTCTATTAATCGTGGCAGACAATTTACAGGTGTATGGAGGCAATTTATTCAAGGTCAAGAAAAAGGAAATGGTATATATGAAGGCGAGTGTATAAGTTGTCATAAAAAATGGGCATTTGCAAAACCTGGAATCTTACGTTCTCATTTAGCAAATGAATGCAATGAATGTGGAGAAGATGTTAAACGATATTACAATTGGATCATTACAAATAATATTCATGATAACTCTTCTGGTAATTTGTATGAAATTCCTGATGATTGGATGAGGTCTACATCAAATAATAGAAAAATTAGTAATAATGAACAATCTAAAGTTGATTCTTATTATGGTTCCACATCAATTGAACCTTCACGTCAAAAACAAATTGATATAGCTTTATCTGTAGCATTTATTTGTTGTGGGCTTCCATTTAATATTGTAGAGAATCCTTTTTTTGTTAACTTATTAAAAGCATTAAATCCTGGTTATAATTCTCCTTCTCGTGAAGTATTGTCAGGTAGATTTTTGGATAATCAAGTTGCATTTGTAAATCAAAAGATTGATAACATATTACAAAATACAACCAATATTACTCTTGGGACAGATGGATGGACAAATCCAAATGGCTCGAATTTATGGAATTTCATGGTAATGACACCTGAGAGAAAATAATTTTTATATTGCATTTCTGATTTTTCTTCTGCCTCTCATACTGGTGAATTTTTAGCAGAAGAAATTAATAAAATTATTGAATGTATTGGACCAAAAAAGGTTGCAGCAATTGTTAGTGATAATGGTGCCAACATTGCCAAAGCTAGAAGGATTGTGACTAGCAAGTATAAGCATATTATTAATGTGAGATGTATTAATCTGATATCAAAAGATGTTATTGCACATAAATTTGCAAAAAATTTAATTTCTAAGGCAAACATTATAGTAAAATATTTTAAAAAGTCCTCTTTGGCTAATAGTCTTCTAAAATCACAAATAGAAAAGCATAGAATTCAAGGTGGTATTATCAAAAGTTATGTGAAAACAAGATGGACATCTGTTCATGAATGTTTAGATTCAATTATACGATTGAAAAGATGTTTAGAAGAAATTCGTGATGAACATTCTACTTCAATTAGTAATAATTCAGTGATTAGTATTTTAAGAAGTAGAGCATTCTTTGAAGATGTTGTTTACTTGGCTAACACTTTATTACCAATCAAATTAGCTATTTTAGAAGTGGAGGGTAGAAGTACAAATCTTGCAGATTGTTACATTTCATTATTAAGAATTGCAGCAGTAATAAGAAATTTACCATCTAATGATTATAAATTTTTTAGAAATCATTGTATTTCTGTTTTTAATAAAAGGTAAATTTTATAAATTTAGATTTAATTTTTTTATATATTCTCTAACCTTAAAAATTTTTTTTATTAAAGGTATAAAGAATTTGATGATCCGATTTATTTGTTAGCCTTTTTTCTACATCCAGCATATAAAGGGAATGGTGTTAAGTATGGACAATTTTATAATATTGTTAGTCATGCTGGTTCTATTTGGAAATCTTTAAAAAATCGTGAAAGTTGGGAATCTTTGTCAACTCAGCTACGTCTATATAAACTTCAAAAAGATGATAATGGTGTTCCTAATGTTTATTCTGCACCATACACTCCCAATCAAGATACTGTTATGAGTTGGTGGAATACGTGTGAAGCAAATCCAAAGCATTTACAACAACTTGCACTAAGAATTTTTTCAATTACACCTAGCAGTGCTTCATGTGAGAGAATGTTCTCAACACTTGGCTGGCTGTATGGTAAGAAACGGCAAAATTTGTCAATCCACAAACTTGAAAGTCTGGCTAAAGTTTATAGATATAATATATCAGAAGTTGCACAAACTACTAATCATTTGAAGAGAAGTAAGGTAGAAATGACACAAGATGAAATTCAAGATTTATTAAATAAATCTATGGAAGAAGAAGAAGAGGAAGAAGAAGAGGGTGATGATGAGGATGATGTAGTTGAGAATGAAATTAGTATTGCAACAGAAGAATCAAATATTCCCGATTGTGAATTAGATGTACAAGTTGTGATTGAATTTAATTCTTGTGTTTTTGAAATGTTTAACGAAAACAATACAATAGAAGAATTAGATAGTGGATTTTTTGATGAAGAGACTGGAGGTGATGATTATGATCCCATAGAAGTAGCTCATGAATCAATGGGTTTTGATGATTATTACAATGTATAATAATATATATTTTTATAATTTTTTAAATTTAAAAAGTTTATGAATAAAGTTTATGATTTCATTTGTGTAAACTGCAAAAAATTTTGATTTGATTATAATTTTCAATTACATAACATATTTATTACAGAATTACAGAATTACAGAACTACAGATACATTTACATATTACAGAATTGCAGAATTACATATACATTTACATATTACAGAATTGCAGAATTACAGATACATTTACATATTACAGA